ATCAAGGAGATCGTGAGCAGAAACAAAAGGAGATACCAAGAGGATGGATTCGACTTGGACTTGACCTGTATCCTCTGCTGCGGCGCCCCTCCCCTCCCCCTCCCCGGAGCATCCCGGCCCCGCGCGCCCCCTCCCCCCCGGGGCCGGGCTTCAGGGGCTCCGGCCCGGAGGGTCAAGGCCAGGGGCCCCGCTGCGGCGGCCTCCGGGGGCCATTGTCCCTTGGTCGGTGCGTTAGGGAGGGTTAGCGAGCTCCCCCGGGGACCTACCTGGGAGCAGCAAGCAGGGAAGCGGGGAGCCCGCCTGCCGGGGCGCCCTGGGCCTAGGGTAGGCCCTACCTAGAGCGAGGGTCTGGAGGGGAGACGGAGCATTAGGCTTGCACGTACCAGGATTGCATCAGAATCTTGCAGGGATTGTTTCTGGGGCCCTGGGTTGCCTTGAAAGATAGATGCCTTAAACCAGTGAGTCTAGGGGCTCAGTCTTCGACCCTGGCGGCAAAGGGGAGATGCCTCCCACTCCCCGAGATCTGTGCCAGGGAACCAGATTAGCTACCATCGGGGGCTGGGTTTAGTAGTTTTGCGAAGTTTTACATAATTAGTGCTATGATCAACCCTGTGAGGCCTATGCTTATGTGAGGTCTTTGTTAAATGTGCTTTTTTTATTCCCTCATAGTAGGCTGACATGTCGGTTAAGGCATGAAATGAACTGCTCAACAGCGTTTTCTGTGCTGCATCTACATGTAGTGGGATGGACCTTGAGTGGCTTTGATCCCTAATGATAATGTCAATAAGATCAGTGGGCATTCTGGGTCTGGAATGGTTATTGCAAAGGTTAAATTTAATGTTCATTGCAAATTTTAAGTATTATTGTGAAGTGTTGTTGTCAATTGATAATTGACAATATTTATTTTTCGGGTCTCCTGGCATGGTAAGGGCCTCGATAATTTTGATTTCCACCTTTAATGAGACGAAAAACCTGGTTTATATTTTTACCAGTTAACATGGCCTGGAAGAGCTGGTCAGAGTGTCAGTGTACCCATTTTGAATTGAGTTACGTTGTAGATTAATTGTTAAGGCTTTTAATGTTTAAATTTACCAAAGCAGTTTATTGACTAAGAGAAACCAAGAATTTTGGCCAGGACTTTGCTCTGGCAGGATTAAGGTTAGGCCTTTGCATTCTAAAGAGGAAGGCCATCAAAGCGCTTTATTGTCATCCCTGTAGTTTTGGTTTTGACCAAACCTGGGAATTATATTCATTTTCCTTATTTGCATACTCATGAAAGGTACACTTTTTAATCTAACAATTAATTGTCCTGTTGGTATGCATGTATGAAGAAGCAGAATTTAAAGTAATTAGATTTTTGGTGTTCAGGCGATTGGAGCATTTTGAACATACAGTGGCATAAATTCAGTAGCAAACCATATGGATAGAATTGAACAGATGTGGAGCACGAGATGGACTTTTTTAAAATAAAAAATCAGTAGTTTGTGTTGACAGTCTCTTCCTTGGAAGCAGCAGCCTCTTGCTAGTATCTTTCCATAGAAAAGTACTAAGGTAGCATATGAGGCTTGACTACAGAATATCCTTTCTCAAAAACACTTTAGTAATGGTCAGCAAAACATTAAATGGAGAGAGTGACATCTAAATTACTCTTACATGAAAAAGTTTGGAGGAGAATAAGATGACAGAATTTAGTGTCTAAAGAATTTGGTTCCCTTTCGTATTTGTTACATTTGTACTTTTGCCTTTTTCTACTGCTTTATTAAAATTTTATCTTAATATTTATGCCAACTGAACATAAGCATACAGGTGTTTTTGTTTTTCTTAAGAACAGTAGGCACATGTTTTGTTAGAGGAAGTTACTAAACATAGATGAAAACAATACATATTCCTATTAAGTTCTTAACTTAGTATTTTTAGAGTAGCGTTGGAAATTTAAGAGACTGCATTGATTGAATGTCGTAGACGCATTTGAACTGGACAGCAGTGCCTACGAGGTGGCTCATTGAAGGTTTTGTTTTATGACTTGTTTTATCAGCACTTCATTTGGGGAGTCAAATTATAATAGCGGTTATCTGAGAACTAGGAAGAAAACTTTTTCCTAATTAAGTGCTTTTAGTGGGCTTTTTGGATCATCTTAAAAATGGCTAAAATGATGTCAATTTTCAAATTGTGATGTCTGCAAATTATGACCCTCTGAATGACTATCTAAATTATATCAATATGTAGTCATTATGCAAATCTACCAGGTTATTATATGAGTAGTAAAATGCTATTCTTGGGGGGGGGTGTACATCTGTACATAAAATTTATGCAACTTAAAAACAGTTACTAAAGCAAAAGATCATTGAAAGCTTCTATTCTCAAAATTTTTTGATGCACCAAAAAAAATGCTTGATTTCACTGTCAGTCAACCAACAAACATTTATGAGGATCACCCGGTATGTGGTGTGGGGTTTTAAAGATGCAAGTGAAGCAGACTCTGCCCTGCAAGAGCTTGTCTCCTTAGCAGACAAAGTCTGCACTTGACCGGCTCTATTTCTGATTATTGTGGGGAAACATTAGAGTGAGAAGTAATGAAGACATTATCACTCTCTGATCAATTGTAGTGTCTTTAAGAAAAAAATTGACCTCAAGTTGAATCAGTGAAAAGTAGAAAAATCCTTATTTCCTGAAAAAAATAAAATTTTATTTTCAGTTAAAAAGCATTTATATTCTCTGTCTTTCAACTCCCTCTCCATTGGGAGAGGAAAAAGGAAAACAAAACCTTTGTAACAAGTCTGCATAATCAAACAAAACATTCCCTATTGGCTTTATCCAAAATTGCCTATACCATTCTGCATCTTGAGTCCATCATGTCTCTGTCAGGAGGTGGCTATGCTTTATAATAGCACCTCTGGCTATGTTCATGTTCAGTGTTCGTGGCTGAACATTGCATTGCTTAGCGTTTTTAAGTAAAAGTAAGTCGTTAATGAAAAGATTTCTCATCACTGCAGGACAACTGCACTAGTGTGCATTTCAGTAATTTTTTTGGTGGTTATTTAAATTTTCTGAAATTAAATTCATCTTGAGCAGGCTTGTAGGTTATCCAGAGGTATAAACTAGAGTATGGAGTTTAATGTGGGAGAATAAAGGCCCCTTTAGAATAGTATGACATTTTAAGGCTTTATTTGCATCTTATAAAAATCAGCTCTGAACAAGAATTCACACACTTAGACTACTGTCATGGCTCTGAAGTGATTGTCAGATTAATATTTTTCAGTGGTCTTTGGGTGACTACCTAACCCTTTCTAGTTTTAAATCTGTTACTGTCACCATCTTCCCCCCAGTGACTTGGTCACCTAGTAACCTTTTATAATCACTTAGCAAGTTTTGCCCTAGCAGCTTTATCCAAGAGTTAAGAATTTAGGAAGTAGATGAGCTGTCATTTACATTGTTATATTTCATAAAGGGGAAGTGAGTTTTGCTGCAATTTATTTCTAATTTTTTTGTTTGACATTCATGAAATAAGATTTAAACTTTTAAAGTACTTGTACTTTATAGTACTTATACTGTAAAAATTAATAAGTGATTAAAAAAATCACAATATATTGCGAAGTGATGAGCCAAGTTTTAATGGTTAGGCAACAGGAAAACTTCTTTAACTTCAGATTTTGCTATATTTTGTAATAATTTTGTTGTAAATAGTGGGAAATCTGGTGTTTTGAATTGACATTTTATATAGTATAAGTTAAATGACTTGCTCTGATTTTAAAGTAACCTCGGAAGGCTTTCGATTCCTTGTGTGGTGTTTTTTTTTTAAGATGTGCTTATTTTTTAATATCCTCTACTTTTGGTTAATGTGCATTTGATGAGAGAACTTTTTTCCTAGAAAGCAAATTCATGTGAGAAGGTGTTGAGTGTGGGAAAGAAGTGGGTGCTGGGAATTCTGAAGGCCTTTCACAGCTGTGTGTAGCATTTCTGTGTGAAAGTATCCGTTTTATGAAAATACTAATATTCCATCTTGTATTTTTGCTGTTTAAACTTTCCTTGGTGCAAGCCACAGTGCAAAATAGTTTGTCCTAATTTTTATGGAAAACAAAATTAGGTAAAAGTTGATATTTAGTTCATTTTTGTTTCATGTGAATTTTTTTGTGCTACATGCGTATGTTCCTTCATAATGACTCTTGTGATTATTTAGGACCTAGAAAACATTCTGATAAAAAACAGTTACGTAATATTTATGTGGCTGGCTAAAAATAGTTTGTATGGTTGTGCACAATAGCATCCTTACCTCCTTACCTTTATTTTCTTTCCTCTTGCAGTGAAATCTGTAGTGAAGAATCTTGTGGCCTAGTCTTATCACAGAGCCAGAGGGAACAGGCAAGATTCATTCTTGGAGAGTGTGATAAAAATGTTAATGCTGCATCTTCCTAGTGAGCTCCTGGGAGTGGTGGTGCTTTTGGTGGTTGGTGTTCACTTCTGGTTTACAAATGGCTTGTAGGTGGTAGCTTTGATGTGAAACATTTGACATGAAAAAGTGAGATGTGGTGTTGTGTTGGAATTTGAAGAAATGGTCAAAGTTCGTGATAAAGCATTGATGACTTTGGTCATTGACTTTTATAAAGGTTATATGGCTCCCACGTTCTTTCTTTCCTGGGTGTCACCATAGAAAAAGTTTTTATTCATAGGGATTTTCTTTGTAGATGCAGTGTATCTAAATGTGGCACTTGCTCAGTTTTTACAAAGTACTTTTCAGTTTATAAAAAATATTGGAAATGGCAAATAAATATATTGAACTAAACCATTTACCATTTCCCCCACTTCTGTACTCTTTATTACTTCCTTTGAAATAATTTATATTAGTTTTTTTAAAAGATAACCATATATTATCTGAGTTCAAATATGAGGACAAATTTAACAAACGCTAAGGGTTAGCCTGTATTTTGATTAGTGAGAGCAACTGGGTTCACTTCAGCATAAACGCTGATTGAGTGATCGTGAAATGCCCCAGTTAGAGATGGAGCAAACTTTTCATTCAATAAGACTGAAATGCCATCTAGTCAAAAACTGACTTTAGCATCTAGGAAT